GTATCTTTTATTTTGTCTGTATGTTTGGTAAGTATAATTTCAATTTGTATGTTCATTGTAGATGAATGTTTTCTTATTTATAAACATAATACATAAAAATTTATAAACATAATATAGATCTGCAACAATAATTAGAGTACATCAGTTATTACAAGTATGGCAGTGCATAAGTGCTGGATTATAAACAGTTTCATTGTTTATTATATTCTAATAGCAAACTGTTCAGTTCTCCTTCCTCTTATCGATACACTAATGGCTGCTCCTGCTACTGGTATCTACTGGTGTCTTGTATTGACTGGATGTATGAGTATTGCATCTGGTAAGTTCATACCCACCTAACATTATCTTTATACAATAGATCTATTAGGAGGAGCAGTATTGACTCAAACCTCTCCACCTTATACTCCAGTGTGTCCTAACGATAGACTAGTACTGACTTGTGTAGCTAGTGGAACTGGTAATACCTATTGGGGACATAGTAGCACTAATGTTACAACATGGCTAAATAATATGATAAGATCAGCTACAACTAGTGGTGGTCTTATTGCACTCAATGTTACTAGTGATATTGTGAATAATACAGTGACTAGTACTGGTACCATAAAATCAGTAGATGCAGCATTGAATGAAACTATGATTAGTTGTTCAAATTATTATTCAAATATTTTTGTTAGATTTACTATCAAATTGACAGGTTAGATAATTTTATCATTCATTATAGCTAATGCTCTACATGAATAGGTCCACCAGTATCAGTGTCAGTTGTTAATGTAACTATTACTCCTATTAACAGCAGTGCACTGACAATCAGTTGGTCATTAAACACACAAGATTACAACTGCAGCATAAACCAGTATAATATCACAGTATACAGTAATGGGACAGACTTTGAACAGGAGTCTCTGAATGATACTACATCATTTACTGTTAATGATCTCATTGTTGGTACTAATTATTCATTTATTATTATTCCTATTGATACTATTGGAAGAGAAGGACCTCCTTCATCATTAATACAGTATATATGGAATGGTAAGCACTATACACACACACACACTCATTGTATTTCTTATAGTACCAGCTCAAGTTGTTAATATTAGTTGGGATCAGATATCAACTGATACTATTACAATATGGTGGAATAACAATGAAGTATGTTATTATAAGATATTAAATTCAATAGATGCATGTATTGATAATACTTATATAGGACCATTATACTACACCACTTCCTCCTATTCAGTATTACATTATTAGTGTATACAATACATCAAACAGTATTATATACACTAATAATACAACTAATACTAATATTACTATCACTGGACTACCTCTTACTGATACAAACTACACTGTTACTATCATTCCTGTTAATGTTATTGGATATGGACCATCAGCTACTGTTAATGGTATGACAGTTTAATTATAAAATACTGAATATCATTGGTTTACGTATCAATAATTATTATGTAGTCAGTATAACTAATGCAATGACCAGTAGTTCAATTACAAGTATATTATCAGGTCTGTACAGTTGATACATTATTCATTATTGTATTATTATTAGTTACATTAACTACTGATATTAGTACCAGTACACCATTAATTTATATATCATCTACTTCAAGTAAGCTGTGCAATACATGTATTATTAATAATAAAATTAATGAATAAATAAATAGATATAGTTACAAAAACCTCCAGTACTGATTCATCATACACACTGTCAGTTGATCCATCAACAACCACCATTGAACTCACTCCTACAACTACATTTACTAGCACACAATCAACTACTACTACTATTACTACTGACTCTGCTACTGGTTCTAATGCTGTTCCTATTATATCAGGAGCTATTGGAACAGTATTTTTTATAATAATAATTATTATTATTATATTGGTAATAGTATTACTAGTACTGGCAATCAAGAAACAAAGAAGTAAGTATTTTTGCTGTAATTATTGTTATTATAAATATGAACACAGATAAAATATATAAAATATCTAAAAAGCAAGCTTTTAGTAGTACTGATGCAGTAGCTACTCCTACATATGATGAGATCATTGTTAAACCAACTACTACTACTACTGGAGTACCAATATATGATACACCAATGGAACTACAGGCTAATACTGCTTATGATGTTATTAATAAAGATATAATTAATGTACATAATAATGATGCATATGGACAAATAATGATGTAATTATTTTTATAATGAACCACTTGTTGTTTTAATAAGTGTGTTTACAGGATGAGCAGCCTATAGCACGATCGCTAACATTAACTCAAACTTTCTACATAATTAAGGAGATCATTTGCATCATAAGTATATCTATTTCCTCCCACTTTTGATAACATAAAAGGTCTTTGGCTAAATTTTGAGCAAATTAAAAAATTCATTAAAGTTCAAAATGGGATCAAAATCAGCTCAAACTTGACACACATCATAAGAACATGTATATTTTACATCAACAATAAAGAATATTAACTGTTATGAAGTATATAAAAAGGTGAACTCATTTTGGTTACATATAACCTGATAATTGGTTAATTGATCATCATAATGCATCAATGAATAATGATCTAATTTGCTCCTTGTCCTGTTCTTACTTTTAGCCATGCATGCAGTGTGTAGATTAAAGCTTTTAGCTGTTTAAAATCACTTCTCATAACATGTTAAGTAAATCATTTCATTATGAACTTAGTATTATACTCCACTAATTAATTCTTGTATGT